TGGAAGGTTAAGCAATAGGTATGATCTTCCTCTGTCAGTGTTCTGTCACCTCTATGTTTTTTGTGAAACACAAATTGGGATATGAATTTTCCTTCATTTTCTCATAAGTCTTTGTTTTCTCTATATTTTATTCTTTCAGTCATTCTTAGTATTTCTGTTTGTTTAATCTTATTTATAAAACATGGTGTCTTAATTTTGCATATATTGGGGGTGCCATTTTTTTTAATGCATGACACAGATTCCTCCAAATTCTTCATTTTTTTGTTATTTTTTTCAAACCCTTAGTTAAAATTTAGATTATTTTTGTGCCGATTTAAAACTTTGCTTTGATTTTGAAACTAAAATATTTAGTTAAATATGGAAATATGTGACGAAAATTTGATAGAAAGAACATAGTAAGAGAAAATGACGTTACCAAAAGAATGAAATATGGTAAATAAAACTGAATAATCTTGACTTTGAAAATGTACGTTGTTTTCTAGTTTGTTTCTAAAAAAGTAAAAATTGAAAACTGAGCTTAAAATAACAGCTATCTTTTCGTACTTTGGTGATATATATTTTTAAAGAAATTAAAAGGTATTTTTTTTTTTTAAAATTAGACTTAAATGTTTACTTCGTCCTTGTTAATAGGTAAATTTCTGTTTAGTATCCGGTTTTAAATATTAAGACATTGAGTCTCTATGTTATGAAAAGTGTATGAATAAGGTTTTGTCCGTTAAGTTGACAACAAAGACGTTAAGTTCATGCTGATGTGGTCGTACTTTTTCTTTTCTCTCTTTTGTTGTTGAGCTTTTTCTATTTCTTGTTCAGCTTTTTCTTTGAAGATTTGTTGAACTTGTTCTTTCTTTGTGAACCTTATTCATATATTTTTCATAACATAGGGACCCAATATCTTCATTTTTAAAACTGGATACTAAACAGCCTTAAAATTATTGTAAACATGATATTTAACGACGTGTATTTATACTTTTTTTAATTATAAATATAATGTCATATGTTAGAATTAAGAGATGCACTAAACCTTTATGTATATGAAATTTGGTAGACATGATCAAATAAATAAGAATATGAAAGGTGCATATAACTTTACAAACTTTGATTCTAAAGAAAATATATAATATGACTAATTTCAATAAATGAGTCTTAATCATATATATATATATATATATATATATATATATATATATATATATATAAACATTGGTGTGGTTGGAGGCAAAGGGCATGTGAAAAAAATGGTAACAAGTGTCATGTATTACTGATAACTAATTGGTGATAACTAATTGGTGATGATGGTTCAGTTTGTGTTGCCTTTTCATGAGTCGGCTCAAAACTTTTCCCTATCATTGAAGTCAGAAATAGCAGCATTTCATCCAATAGGCCATTGCAACCACAATTGCTATCATTTTTGCAATGAGTGTGTTGTTTTTTCAAAGGGTTCTTTTATTCTTCAAAAATTGGTTTAAATTTAGTTTGGTAAAAAAAAGGAAAATTCTTATTGATTACGTAAAAACGTGTGATTGTGTTATGTCTTGTCAAGTTTTGTGGTGGTAGCATATAATGACAAATTTTACATTAAATTGTATTTTGAAAAAAAAAACGAATTTAACATAGTTTGTGTTATATATATATTATGTATATTTTTTTATTAAAATTATCACATCAACCATTATAGTATTGAAGTTCGAGGAAAGAGAGTTGTCAACATGAAGCTCTTTCTCCAGTTGTATGAAATTTGAAGTTTGATTTGACATTGTAAAGTTTTAAAATTTTGATTTTAATTTATGTGAAACTAAAAGAAATTAGTTTTATTCTTCATAAAATATATATTTTTATTTTAATATGACAAATTGTTCAATATTAAGAAAAAAAAAAGAACAACAGATCTAAATTTAATGACGTTATTGACAGTGGTGAGCATGCTATAGCTATGAATTGTGAGAATTTTTTTATATATATTTTTGTTCTACTGGATCACATAGTTTAGTGTGATATGCTAAATAAAACCAATAATAATTAATCTAGTTTATGTACAGATTATGTATGGTTTAACAAATTATTTTCAGTAATTTTGCTCTAAACGTAGTGGTTGTAAAATCTTTTTTTCTAAAGCTAAATTAGAACTCCTCTTACATATATATCCTTTGTTGACAACAACAGAAAAAAAGTTTACTCTTGCGTTTTGTTTTGTCTCCAAAACCATCACTCACATTTATTCACATTCTCCTCACACCTTTCTCATCTCCTTGGACATGGGCAGTTTTTGAATAGGAGAACTTTTCCACTCCACTCAATCCTAATTTAGCTTAAGGTAAGTTTCCTTCTCTCTTTTCATTTGAGTCAGCCCACTTTCACATACAATCGTTCAACCTTCTTTTGCATGTGATTTTTCGGCTATTTTTGGTTCTTTTCATGATTGTGAGTCTGATGAAACATTTGGATCACTATTCTAAGCTCCTTTTGTGATATAGTATTTCTTTTGCCACCAAGTTCAAAAACCTCTTTAAATATAGAATAATTATTAAAAAGTTAAAAATATAAATATTGATAATTTTTTTATAGTTGATCTTGATTGATGTTATTTTTTGTCAAAGTTCTTCAATATTTTTTCATTTTTTATATTTGAAAAACTTTTTCTTGATTTACATTAAATGAAATTATTTTCAAGTTATGAAATGTTAAATCGGGTCAGACCAAAGTAAGATTGCACCAAGATTGCACCAAGTCAAGCTCACGTAAGGTTGATTCAAGTTAGTTCAAATTTGAGTCAAGCCAAGTTAACTTGAGCTTAAGTCAAGTGAAGTTAGCCAAGTTGGCCTAAACCCCAGTCAACCATAGTTAGCATTGATCCAGGTCAAGTGAGTTGGCCCTAACCAAGGTTAAGTCGAGTTGGCGCAAGTCCAAGTCAAGCTGAGTCAATTTAGACATAGGCCAAGTTTAGTTAGTTCACACCTAGCTTAAGTTAAGTTGGTCTGGGTCTAGATTTAGCCAAGTTGGTTTGAGCCCAGATTGAGATTAGTCATGGCATCCCTCATTCAGTCAAGTCATGAATCCACTATTATCTAAGTTGTATGTTCAACTGAGTTGGATCATGATCAAGTCGAGACCATGTAATGTTAGGTCAAGCCAAGTTTGTCTAAGCCTAGGTTGAGTGAAGTTAATATGGCTTACGCTTGAACAAGTCAAGTTAGTCTGAGTGAGCTGAGTCAATTCAGACTGAAGGTCAAGCTGAGTGAGCCTAGGCTAAATGTTGAGTTGGGTTGTCTAGGGTTGAAGGTCAACTCGAGACCGAAGGTCAAAACGAGTCATCCATGGTCAAAAGATAGAGTTGAATTGTCCACATACTTTTAAAATAAAGTTTTGTCTTAAAAAATAAATTAAATTGTTTTATCTAAATAAACTATTCTAAGATATTCTAATTATGAAATTAGAATATTCTAATTAGTTTATCCAAACAAACTAATTAAGAAATGAAGAAATTTGAATTGTGAGTAATTCAATTACCATGTATTTCAATTTTTTAGAATTACTAAAATTTCTTATCCGCTAGTGTAGGAAAGGTTTTTTATACTGGTTCCTGAACCAGTATATATACACACGAAATAGAAAGTTTCAACTTTCTATACCAGTTTTACCGGTATACAAAGTAACATTTTTTATACCTATTAACCCCACAACCATAATAGAAAGTATTTCACACATCTGCATCCTTCCCTTTATTTTTCTTCATTTCGTTACCATTACTCAAATCCAAGCCCAATTGAAACAATACTATGATTTTGAACATCAGTTGCAGCAGTTGAAATTCTAACAAAACCTAATAATCGTAAGAAATTTTGAGTTTCTTCCTTGAATATAGAGAATAAAAAATATATCTAGACACAACAAACATGTATTTATTTATACATATAATTTCATAGACAGAAAAAACAATAAAAGGAAAACACTTAGCAAATAACAGGCACCTATATCGTTGAAGCATCATTCTCCACGTAGAACCCGCCCAATCGATGCCTAGTTCTCCTCCACTTGCGACAGTTGCAGCAACGCAAACACCGCATTCTCCTTTGTCGTTGCAGTTCCCCGTAAGCCAACCAACGACTTAATTGTGCTGAGAGAGGCGATGGCTCCTTGTTCCTATCGTAGAACGAGAGATCCAAAATCGTGATGACGTTGTATTCCTTGAGCTAGAGTTTAGCAAAGAAATGAGTTAAATCAACAATTTAATTACGTCGCATGTAGGAAGAAACCCTAAACGAGAGAAAACATTTTGAAAACCCTCTGTTTGTGTGTTTACAAATGAAAAAGAAAACTACTTTCTATACCAATTATAATTAGAATCAGTATAAAAAGTTTTATTTTTTATTAAAAAATGTCATTGTGACCTATCGGTTATAACTATAAACAGTGTAAGAATTTTTTTTTTAATTACAAAAATATTACCATGACTAATATAGAAGGTATTATCTTATTACAATTCTGCTACCATGTTACTTATTATAACGGTGAATTATAGTCGGTATAAACAATTGTTATAAAATTATAAAAAGTGATTTTTACATAAAGGATAAAAATTGAATGTGAAAAAATAATGACCCTTTATGTCTTATTCAAACACATTATTATAGTGTTTCCGCATGCTTCTCAATGATTAAATCATTAATCTTAGATTCACCTTCTAAAGTTTCCAAAATCCTCGTTGACAATTTTAAAAATACTAAACCAATATCAAGATGTTGGGTGTATGGCTTGATTTTATATAGAACTAGTTGTAATATATATTTACACCAGAAAAAAGAATCTATTAGTGAGAAAAACAGGAGTAAACTCAAAGATAGAAAAACACTTAGCAGTGAGAGACGACATTTATTGTCATTTTTGCACCACCACCAACCATGATCACCCTAAAATTATAAATAACTTAAAGATAGAAAAACGAGGTTAACCATTAAAATGTTTCTCCAAATAGTTAAGAGAGAGGTTCACGTTAAGCCGTTCACGAAATAGGGTTTTGAAGAGGAATCGAAAGCATAAATTCCAGTTGAAGGAAGCATATAGAAACCCGTGAGTTGAACAGTTTTCTTCAAGCTTGGTTTTGGAGACAAAAGGCATAATAGAGACAAACGAAAGAAAGCATAATCAAAGTGAAGAGAAGAAGCTTAAAGAAGGCTCCAAAAATGAGTTTCAAAAGCTCTTCTCTTCTCTGCATAGCGCTTCTGCTTGCATTGTCTTCTACTATTAATGGCTTTAACATCACAGAGATGTTGGAAAAGTATCCAGAGCTGTCCTCATTCAACAAGTACATCACCGAATCCAAGCTTGCAGACCAAATCAACAGCCGCAACACCATCACCGTTCTTGCTGTTGAGAACGGCGCCATCTCTTCCATTTCCGGGAAAACCCCAGCAGTCATTAAGGCCATCATCGGCACCCACATCATCCTTGACTACTATGATGAGAAGAAGCTCATGGAAGTTCAAGCTAACAGCTCCCTGTTGACAACCCTCTACCAGTCCACAGGCCTTGCCGTCAAGCAACAAGGCTTCGTCAACGTTTCACTCATCGGCGAGGGCGAAATCGCCTTCAGCCCCGCCGGCACTTCCGACTACTCCGAGCTCGTCAAGACCGTCACCACCCAGCCCTACAACATCTCCATTCTTCAAATCACCAAGCCCCTCATCGCCCCAGGTGTTGACAATCAAACCCAATCTGCACAGTCACCACAACAAGCTAAAGCCTCTCCCCCCACAGAGACAGCCAGGGCACCGGCTCCCTCCACACAGAGTGGCAAGGCATCTGCTCCCTCGACAGACAGTGCCAAAGCACCCGCAACGAAAGACGGTGCGGAGGCACCAGCTCCTGCGGAGGATGCAAAATCTCCTTCTGCAGCCACTGCTGAGGCACCAGCTCCTTCGGAAACTGCAGCCGCGCCTTCACCTGCCGAGTCTCCTAAAGCTGATGCCCCAGCAACAGCCGATGCCCCAGCAGATGGTCCCGCTGCTGATGGTGCTGCAGATACTGCAAGCTCCTCCACCATTAAGATGAGCTTGGTTGGATCGGTGATGGCCATCGCTTCACTCTTGATCGTTTTATAAACTGGTTCATGAAATAAAGATGATATAGATATCTATATCTATCTATCTATATATAGATATACGTTTTATTACACTTATATTGAGAGGAGGAAGAGAATGAGAAGAGGGCCTTCAGGAAGACACAAACGGATATTGGAAAGGATGATGTAGAGTTCGTTGTCGCTGAAAATGTTGGTCAATGAAAATAAACTTGTATTTTAAGTGGTTGCGACGTATAAATAAATGAACAAGTTATTTATAGTTTGATGTTTGTTTTAAGAATGTTTTTTTTCTTCTTTTGATGTCTTTTTATCCGAGGGTTCAGGTCATATGTGCTCAAAAATCTGAAGAGGGATTCTTTTGTTTTGATCTTATAAAATTGGACAAATTTAAAAAGAACGTGGAAAATCACAATGGCACCATGAAAAGGAAGCAATTCTGTGTTGCTTTAAGTTCATGTGGAAATTCAATTCATTTTAGCAAAAGTGAAGCCAAACCAAACATTATATATGCAAAGATTAGTTTGGTGTGAAACTTTTCCATTCAATACTTCATCAAGTTTTTGGTGTGCATTTCTCTTCGATTTACTGTTCATGATTTTCTTATCAGAAGTACAATGTTCTATTGAATATACATTCCAAACAATAATGGATTATAGAAAGTATTAAATATTAAAAGGAAAGTATTAAATAAAGTATTAAATATACATTCCAAACAATGATTTTTTTATAAGAACAAAAACATTTATTAAAACTAATTATATTCAATATTAAAAGGAAAGTATTTTCATTTCTTCAATATCAAATATTTAGAAAAAATTATAATCGTATACATCTTAAATTGATGTAACAAAAAAACAAAACATTTATTAAAATTGCAAATATTAATGAAACTTAGTTGATAAAATTTCTAAATATTTAAAAAAAATATATAAAATAAAAAAATATTCAAATTAAAAAATATTTCAAATGTCTCTTTGTTTCACTCCTTTTAAAATTTTAATGAAATCTCTTTCTTATACCCAAATAAAAATTATAATACACCACTTCATTAAAATCACATAAAGAACATATATTAAATTAATAATAATTAAAGTTTAACATATTGAACTTTAATATATATTAAGATGGTAATAACAACTATTCATGCTAATCACATTAAATTATTATGTTATAATAAATAAAATTTATTTATACTAATGATAAAGTTATGCTTATAATAATGAGTGAGAAAATAAAAATAATTATATAAAAAATTATTAAAATATTATTTTAAATGATAAAAATAAACAACCAATAAAAATATTTTTTTTTAAAATGAGCAAATGTGTCTTAGAAACAATTTGATAGTCCATGGAACAAAATCATACCTAGGAAAACAAATGTATAAATAAAGTATGATAAGATGAAAAATATCATAAAGATATAAATTTTCCAATTTTCAACCTAGTCGAAATAAATTTTCTTTTAGCAAAACAAAAGAGTTGTTCAAATTTGAAAAAAAAAACAATAATAAAAGAATAAAAAAGATAAGTCTTTCTTATCTAAAAATTGAAAAGTTTATGTTATTGAAAGAGTTAAACATTTTCATGTGAAAAAAATACACAATAAATAAAAATATTAAAAAAGAATAGAAATTTTCAAATGAGAAATGTAAAAAATATTTAATTAACATACATTATTTGAACATAATTGCACAAAATTTGTGATAAGAGAAAAATATATTCGAGATGTGAATGAATTTCATGACAAAACAAATGTATAGAAGAAAGAAACAATAGAAAGTGTTACGGTGAGTGTCAGGATAGATATATGACATATATGTATATATCCACTAGTATAAAAGTTGCGTACAACGTCGAATATTTTGGACTTTTAACGAAAAATTCGCGAACGATGTCATATCAGGATACGTTTAATTGACGTCGAATTTAAAATATTTGATCTTAAATTAACGTCGAATTTTGTTAATATACGACGTTAACTTAACGTCAAATTTTATTAATATACGACGTTAATCAATTTTTTTTGTTTTTTTTAATTAATTGTGATCGTTTTTTACACCTCTACGAGACCTGAAAAGCACAAAAACAACAAATTTCAGTTTTTGATATTTTATAAAGTAAGAACTATGAACGTAATATCAATAACAAACAACAATAACCAACCATAAACAAGTTCAATCAAACAACAACAAACAAGTTCAATCAAATAATAACAAACAAGTTCAAAAAAAAAACAAACAAGTTCAATAAGTTTTGTGAACTTAAACTACTTTTCCATTGGACAACCGTGCAGTTACTGTAAAAGTCAATTTTCCACTTTTCATCGTCACAGTCCATCTTACTCACAATTTAATTTCTTTTCTTTAATTTTAATTGTCTGTGTTTAAAAAAATTGCTCACTTTTATTTGTTTTCTTTTTTTATTTTTTAATAATGTTATTCTTTAATTATACTATTGAATTTAATAATATAAAAATTGACTATATTATTGGACAGAAAATTATAAACGGCATACAAACAACCAGTTTTAGTACACAATGAAAATATTTAAAACATTAATTCATGATTAAAATCAATGATATAATAGTATATTACAAATGATTCAGACTTTTATATATTTGTTGCCTCTGTACTCAAATACAATTATTTTAATTAATACATATGTGTTTGAGTATATAGATGATTGGGGTCGAAAAACACATTTTTCAGTTATCACTTCTTCTTGCTTCTAAATCACTTGTTCTCACCTTTTCAAGTCTGAATCGAGAGATAGGTATCCGCTAGAGACACTTTGACTCTTAAGTCAGATTTTAATCAATAAACTTAATTCACAATTAGATGTCAGAACACAATTACATATGTAAACTTATTCGATACTCAAGTCAGATTTTAATCAATGAACTTAATTCAAAATTAAGTATCAGAACACAATTACATATGTAAAATTATTAAGCAGTGTCTTTATGAAGAATAATAGGGAGAAATGTGATTATAATGTAATAATAATTGTAAAATTAAACTATAGTTATTTATTATTAATTAAAATTAATTATTTTTCTTTGTCTTGCAAAATTAGGTATTTGTTTATTTTCAAGATAACATTGAAATTTAACTTATATAAATGTCAATAAAAGGTGTTTATTGAATCATTTAATTGATTTGTAAACTAATTTAACTATTAAGGACTTTAAAATGATTTTAAAAGTTTTAACTGATAATTATAATCTACTTGTCCAATTTGTAATTTATTTAATTTTTAATTTTTAATTTTATTTATTATATTTGAATATATTTCTTATTATTTTAAATTTTATAAACACCGGTGATCATTATCTGTTTTAAATATTTGTTGGATTATTTTTTTACTTTTTTATGCAATTACAAATATGATATATATATATATATATATATATATATATATATATATAAAATAATAAATATTCAATTACAAATGAAAATTATACATAATAAAAAAATTTTAAAAATTAATAAATGACTAATTTAAATTAAGAAATAAAAAAAATTATATTAAATTTGATTAAGAGTCATTTTACTTATTTAAATAAAATAATTTCATTAAAAAAATATATACAACATTTAAATATATAAATAAAATCATTAAATATTTTAAATGATAAAAATAAACAACCAATAAAAATATTTGTTTTTAAAATGAGCAAATGTGTCTTAGAAACAATTTGATAGTCCATGGAACAAAATCATACATAGGAAAACAAATGTATAAATAAAGTATGATAAGATGAAAAATATCATAAAGATATAAATTTTTCAATTTTCAACCTAGTCGAAATAAATTTTCTTTTAGCAAAACAAAAGAGTTATTCAAATTTGAAAAAAAATAATAATAAAAGAATAAAAAAGATAAGTCTTATCTAAAAATTGAAAAGTTTATGTTATTGAAAGAGTTAAACATTTTCATGTGAAAAAAATACACAATAAATAAAAATATTAAAAAAGAATAGAAATTTTCAAATGAGAAACGTAAAAAAATATTTAATTAACATACATTATTTGAACATAATTGCGCAAAATTTGTGATAAGAGAAAAATATATTCGAGATGTGAATGAATTTCATGACAAGACAAATGATTAGAAGAAAGAAACAATAGAAAGTGTTACGGTGAGTGTCAGAATTGAGATATGACATATATGTATATATCCACTAGTATAAAAGTCGCGTACAACGTCGAATATTTTGGACTTTTAACGAAAAATTCGCGAACGACGTCATATCAAGATACGTTTAATTGACGTCGAATTTAAAAAATTTGATCTTAAGTTAACGTCGAATTTTGTTAATATACGACGACGTAAATCAAATTTTTTTGTTTTTTTTAATTAATTGTGATCGTTTTTTACACCTCTACGAGACCTGAAAAGCAGAAAAACAACAAATTTCAGTTGTTGGTATTTTATAAAGTAAGAATTATGAACAACGTAATATCAACAACAAACAACAATAACCAACAATAAACAAGTTCAATCAAACAAGTTCAACCAAATAACAACAAACAAGTTCAACAAAAAAACAAACAAGTTCAATAAGTTCTTCAAAACAAAAACGAAAACTAACCTTTACAATGTGAGTTTGTCGGAATAAAGTGTCGTCACCTATGACAAAGAAAGCAGAATGCGCCTATAAAGAACAAAAACACGAAAATAATCGGTTAAAACAAACGAAAATCATACATAAAATGCATTTGTATCAAATGAAAAAAGATTACATGTGATGGTAATCAAACTTCGTTCGAGAAAAGTTTGACTAGAGAAGAGGGTGTCGTACGCTAAGATAAAGTGAATGAATTTTCAATCTCCTTTCAAATTTTTATTGAATTCACTAACCTTTTGACGTCTAATGCTAGGACATTCGACGTTTTGTATCCTTTTATGTCGAATTACAATTCTAAACGAGGTTTAATAATTGCATTTATTTACAAAAATGTCACTAGACTATTCAGTGATTGGACGTTAAACGCGTGATGTTATACACTGTTTTTGTACTAGTGATCTATCCTCATCCCCATACATATATTTTAGCCAATGTAAAGATTTTTCATCAAAATAAAAATGAGTTTGAACAATATTCATGAAGACGATTTTATTTGTCATCTCTACGTATACGCATAATAATAAATATAAATTATCATAATTTTGGTTAAAACAGTGAGAACGAGTGAAAGAGAGACTTGAATACATGATCCTAAACATTAACACTACAATTGTTGTAGCAAAGA